GGATTCACAATCATGGTTATAGCAGCAGTTGTACACTCTGCTATTCTCACTCTTTTGATAAAGATATTCTACAATCCGTCAAGAAGATATGTAGCTTATCAAAGAAGGACAATACAGCACCATCGGCGCCACGGCGAGCTCAGAGTGGTTGCTTGTTTTCACGGAGAAGACGATCTATCCTCCATTGTATGTCTCCTGGAAGCTTCAAATCCATGCAAAGAAAGTCCAATCGCAATTTACGCTCTCAACATGGAAGAACTTGTGGGGCGAGCCTACCCAGCACTCATACAACATAAATTCGGCAAACACTCGGCCATTATGCGCGGCAGAGTTGATCGTATAATCAATGTCTTCAGCATGTACGAGCACCAGAACCATGGACTTGTCAGCATCGAGTGTTTTACAGCTATCGCGCCTTACACCACCATGCACGACGACGTTTGCTCCTTGGCGGTAGACAAGTGCGCCACCTTGGTGATCGTCCCGTTGCAGAAATGGGACAGCTCGTTAATCAGAGCAGTGAACAAGAAAGTACTGGCTAATGCTCCGTGCTCCGTTGGAGTTTTGTTTGATCGAGGGACGCTGGATTATAAATCCGTGGTGATGCGACGGCTTACTTTGAAAGTATGGGTGATTTTTATAGGAGGGCCAGATGATAGGGAAGCCTTAGCTTATGGTTCTCGCATGGCGGATCATCCTAATGTGAGACTTACAGTGTTAAGACTGGTTAACACGAAGCGAAAACTGAGCTCTACAGACTTGTTGGAGAAGAAACTGGATATAAACGCCATTAACGACTTCAGAATCCGGTGTGTTTCCAACAAGAGCGTTGGGTACAGAGAGGAGAGCGCAGAAGAAGCATCTGATACGACGCAGCTTCTATGGTCGATCGAGGATGATATTGATCTCGTTATCGTAGGAATTAAACACGAAACAAATTTGCCAATGTTGGTGGGAATGTCGGACTGGAGTGAGATTGAGGAGTTGGGTGTGATCGGAGACTTATTAGCTTCGCCGGATTGTAAGATGAAGGCGTCAGTCTTGGCCATGCAACAACAAGCTTTGGTAGTGGAAGAGATGGTAGAGAATCAATCGGCGACAAAATTAGCAGCTCAATATGATGCGTTTGATTCATCAAACCATTCTAAAGAAGGATCCTGGAGAGATTAACATACTATCGGCTCACCAACTTTCCAATTCTCTACAGATTCATAATCTAACCCAAGATTTGTAGAGAAAACATCTCAAATTGTAAAAAAGATCGTAATATTTGAAGGGAAACTCACCAAGGTTTATAATAGTTTCAAGAGTTCATACATGGGAGTTATTGTATATACATATGTATATATAATATGTAAACAGCTAGTCCTCGTCGTCCCATAAATCAGCGACACTTCTGAATGGTCCAGCATCCTTGTTAACAAACAGCTCTTCACCATCCAACACTCGTTTCTGCAATAAAAAGAAATAAAAGATTTTGGCTCAAAAGGGATGAGATAGATGAACAAATATCAAGTGGTTAAGTTCTAATTTGTACCTGTTGTGGAATGCTGGAAAGAGCTTGGAAATCTTCTTCTGGGATTTCCCAGCCAAACACCCTCATGTTTTCCTTGATTCTGTCAGGATGAATTGATTTGGGAATGACACTAGTCCCTCTCTGCATACCCCACTTTACCAGTATCTGCCCTGGGCTCTTGTTCAGCTTCGTTGCTATGGCTTCAACAGTTGGCTCATGGATGAGATCTCTGCCCCCCTCCGATGATCCCAGTGGTGAATTTGCCTGTATAATATTATATTAACTGAACCCTGAGTAATTCACTATTCCCATTTACCAAACAAACACATTGTTCAAATTTCAAATGAACATTCATTCTTACAGTCACATGGATGCCATTCATCTTGCAAAATTCAAGGATCTTATCATTTCTCCATCCAGGATGCATTTCCATCTGACCCCAAAACCACATAGCAACTACACTATCAGAGAGTGTGAAACATATATTTCCCTGTAATCAAGGCATTGACAATAGTATGTGTGTGTGTGTATATATCATCTGACCTGGCACACTGAAGGCATAGTTTGAGCAAAACCCAGTAACTTATTCAGCTTCTTCATGGTAAAATTGCATACCCCAATATCTCTCACAAGGTTTTCCTCAACAAGCTTCTCCATCTCTCCCCATACTCCCTCCATGTCACAGTCCAGAACATCCCCTGCTTTGGGAGGCCTGCTGGCTCCTTCTTTAAGCCGGAATGGCCAGTGGATCTATTGTTATAACCGGCAATTTCTTAGTTCACTAATGCCTTATACATATATATATATATAATACTCCTGTATATATGATTTGCAATTATATATATAGAGTTAAGTTACCAAATAAAGATCAAGATAGTCGAGCTGAAGCTCTTGAAGGGTATTTTTCAATGCAGACCGTACCCTTTCTGGAGAAAAGCCCGAAGACCTACATGCTCACCAACAAGAAAGAATGTTCTAACTAGGCAGTTGTTGCAATTCGAGAGTAGAAATGGACACACACACACACACACATATACCAGAGTTTAGATGTTACGAAGAGATGCCTTCTTTCAACACCCGCATGAATTGCTGCCTTTATTCCATGCCCCACCTGAGAAAGAAGAGGTAAAATGTACACATTTATTGCCCAGTTATATAAAGCAAAAAGTAAAGGGGAAGAACCTCTCCTTCAACTCCATACTCTGCAGCTGTATCTACATGTCTGTAACCAGCCTATATCCATGGTCAAAAAAGCTCAGTGGGTTAGCTTGTATGAAACGAAGATGTAAGCGAAAAGAAAATAGTAGGTACCTCCACAATTGCAGTGAAGACAGAGTTGGAGGCTTGAGAGCCAGATCTCCAAGTTCCCAATCCAACGGCAGGGATGATGTGGCCACTTAAGAGCCTAAACGACTCAATTTTCTCGCCATACAGCGTAAATGTTGCTTGTGCCATTAGCTTCTGTTAAGGAGGAGAAAATAGGAGAAGATTTATAAAACATGCAAGAAGCATATCCCAGAACCAGAAATCCAGGGTCTTCGCCATCTTTCTTATACGGTCTTTTGCATGTTAGCCACGTCCAACCTCGTCGCGCCCCACACTGACACCTTTGCTAAAATTTTTAATCATTAAAATCACACCTGAAATTTTTTAACAGATTTTAAAATATAATTAGTGAATTTGTGTTAATACCAGCACCTAACAATTTTCTATAAAAGCACATTATAGATTAACAGTGAGTGTATTTAATTTAATATAATTAAAATTTTAATTTATATATTGATAAAACTGTAATAATTAAATTAAATTAAATTAGATTTTAATAAATTTTTAAATAAAAAATATTATATAAGTATTAAATTATATTTTTTGAAAAAGGTTAAGTTTTATTAGTTAAATAGCAAAAACTTTTTTTTTATAAATATATATAAAAGGAAGGGCTAGAGGTGTTAAACGATCCGGACTTAAGCTTGGTTATGTCAATCGGAGCCCCCAGTAAAATTAGGCCACCAGACTCATTTTTAGTTCCTAAAAGGTTATAAATAATAATAAAAATAATCAAATTATTGAAATTTTAGTTACTCTTAATTCAAACAAAATAGCAATAACTTATTTTTATTTTATTATAAAAACTTTTCAAATTTTTTCTTATATTATTTTATTATTTAAATATTTTTCTTCTATTTTTTTTTATAAAAAATATAAAATTTCTCATTTTCATTACCCCGTCAATATTTCAGATGATGGTATTAGTGATTAATTTTAAATAATTAATTAAATTAATATATTAATTTTAATTAATCTCGTTCTTTTTCATTGAAAAAGACTCGAGAGGATTTCTTGTGCTCTGCCCATCTCGGGCGGGAGGCCATAGTTGATAGGGCTTGAAAAAGAAGAAGCTCAAGGTCCGGCAGCCACAGCGAATGGGTTAACAGCAGAGCCAACTGAGCAGAAGCGAGTCCGCCATTGAAGCCTAGAGAGAGGTCGTCAAGAGCTCTGTCGCGGATTGCGGATAAAGTCGAGGAACATAAAAAGAGAGCCGAGTGATTAAGTGGTGTTTACTGTTTAGAACAGAAAAAAAAAGACATATTTAGTGTAATCAGAACTACTCAGATGAGATTGAAAATAATTTACAGATGAAATTGAAAATAATTTTGGAAAAAAGTGAAAATTTGAGTTCGGATTGTATTTTTTAAAGAAAAATCAGAAACTGGAGAATCAGAACTACTCAGTCAGCAGTCTCGATAAATCGAAGCGCACTGTGTGGCAATGCACGTTGACTCAGTACCACGCAGGAGGCCACACTGGCGATCCACATGTCCTGCGATCGGACGGTCTAGAAACATTCCCGCGCGCGTGGACGGTCCAGATCCGTTCCCTCCTCAGGCACGATCGAACGGTCGCGACTAAACACAATGAACGATTCAGATTTGTTCCATCTTTAAACGCGATCGTATGATTAAGATCAAATAATGATGAACGGTTCATATTTATTTTCTCTTTAAACGCGATCGTACGGTCGAGATCAAATCGTGATGAATGATCCATATTTATTTTTTCTTTAAACGCGACCGGACAGTCGATATCAAACACGATGAATAGCTCAGATTGACGCGAGACGGGTATAAATATCTCACATCACACCGAACCCAAACTCTAGCCGCCAGCCTTCCGCCAGAAAAGGGAGCAGACCGCTGCGTTGGAGTAACCTCCGACCACCAAAGAATGTAAAAATTCTCCTATCCGCTCGGAATTTAATTTCGAGCACCCCCATGGCCAAATCGAAGCAAAAAAACGGCGGATAAAACAAAAACTACAGGCAAAACCCGAAACCTCCTCCGATTAGCCCCTTCTCGATTTTTGTTTTGTACGATTTTTCTACCATTGTGATTACTATTTTGTTTTATAGGTTAACTGAAGGAAAACACCCAGCCATAAAGGTGAGTCGACGGAGCCGCCGCACCAAAAAATTTTACCACGGTAGGTTTCTATTTTTTGACTTTTTTTGGCAAACCGAGACTCTCTAACGTGTTTTCTCATAGGAATGTGTATAAAATCGGTCAAAACCGGCCGAAAACGGCCAGACCGAGGCAAACCTCCACTGCGAGCGGTGGTGCCGTTGCCGGACTACGGTGGTGGTGTCGTTGCCGGAGCACGGCGGTGCTGCCGTGTGAGAACTTTGAAATTGGCCGAAAAAGAATTTTTAATACCAATTTTAGGATTTTAAGTATTTTTAAGTACATAAAGTGTGTTTTTATCTCCGCAGAAAAATTTAGAAAACTCGGGGACCCCCGGTAGGCGCAGTAGAAAGTTCGATATTTCAAACACCGATTCGAGTAAGAATCTCTCACCTTATTCTCTATTATAGAATTAAAGTCTAATTATAAACAATATGGTATTTTGTGTAATTTAAAAAATTTCAAGAATTAATTACATGTTACTAATGGAGCCGGAATCAGTTATTTATTACTGTTTGTCCTATTTTAATTGATTGTTTGATTTTACAGTTTTAAATGCATGATAATACACTTAAATTGGTAAGATGATTCAGTTGTATTTTCTTGATGCATGTATCATTTGTTTTGCATTTACAGTTAAATTATGAAACTGAAAATTAAATGTAAATGAAAAATTTCTTAGTTAAGTGAATTAATAAAATGATTGTTTTACTGGATATCCTAAGAGATGGTGGACGGACCGAGTACATAGGAAACCCTACCATGAATGTTACCTCATATCAGACGGAGTATCGATCAATGGTATTTTTGGCGTTCATACCGGACGAGGTATGGGGACAGCCTAATTCACCCTCATATCAGATGGGGTATTGAGAATGGTATTTTTGGTGTTCATACCGGACGGGGTATAGGGACAGCCTGATTCACCCACATACCGGATGGGATATTGAGGGATTGTATTTTTTGCACTCATACCGAGCGGAGTATGAGAACGGCTGGTTAGTTGACAACTTTTGATATGAGTTCACGCATAGTAGAATATCCTTATAAACCCTTAAGGATGCCAGCAAGAAAATAAAAAAAGAAACTTGTTTTTCTGACCAATTGAATATGAGATTATGATGTTGTTTGTGATATTGCCTCTATAAGACGGTTTTGGAAATCTCACTACGGTAAGTATGCAATAAATAATTTTATTTATGATAAATGAATTTACTTAAGTGAAGAGTTCCATTGGTTGTTTTTATAATTTTTACCAATCTTCATTTTTGTATCGGTGAGTAATGTGATATTCTTACTGAGTTAGTGTAGCTCACCATTTCATTAATCATTTCATATCAAGAGGACCAAGATCCAGATCCCGATCAATAAGGGGGTTGTGAATAGTTCACCACCCGGACTCCCTTCAAATGATAGTGAAGGTCGTCATAGGATGTCCAATTGTTTATTTTTCATTTATTTCTTTAATTTTTCGCTTGTTCCTTTAGAATAGTCATTCCCGTAACCCTATTGGGTATTCTAAATTATTGTATAAGGAATATAAACTTTAACTTTATTATTTCACTTCCGCATTCAATTTATAATTTATTTTCTTTTAAGTTTTTGGGCCTTTACATTCCAGGTCTATCTTCTTCACCATTTCAAACCTCAATAACTGTGCAACCAGCCTCTCTGTCTTTCTATTTGTCTTTTTTTCTTTAAACAAAATAAGTGTTAGCCTCCCAAGAAAGTGAGTCCTTAAAAGCAGGTAAGCAAGAAATGGGGAGTAAAGGAAAATTCATCAAATGGGATCTACGAGCACAACAATGTGATAGTCCGCAGCTCCCCAACGAAAAACCACGCTGCCAAACACAACTGAACCAAAAAATATAATATAAATTTAAATTAAAATACAATATAAGTTATTCATCTCTTGTACAATATGTAACATAATTTACATTATGAGGTTATAAAATTCTGTAGAGTCCACAATTGGACTAAAACTCACTAGATAAAACTAAAACATGAAATTCCTAATTTAGCTTTCTAAATTATCTTCCTCAGTCTGATTTGAAAAATTATTAGAATTTAAAAGAAATGAGCAAAATAACAGGTTCAGTAAGTATATCGAATAGATTACACCATAAGCATGTAACATACCAATATCCAGTCAATTAGAAATGTAAATTTTTTTGCCCTTTATATTTGACAACCATGAAATGCAGAGATATTTCAGTTCCTATCTCATCTCTCATTGTTCTCCTAACTTCAACTAGTTTTTTCTCATTACTATTCCCCTTTACTAGTTATCTTTCAAAATTTCTCTTTCTCATTATCCCTCTAATTTCTTTCCTTTCTTAATTCCCTAATTGTAACCACTCATATCTCACATTATTTTCACATCACATCTAGTTCTAAAACCATGCTCATCTATCAGGTTCTCTTTAATTCACATACTAAAATTTTTCACAAATTTTTGGTCAAATTGAGACATCTGTAATCTGTCAATAGATATCCATGATTCTGATTTTCCTCAACATAGTCATCAAATTAAAGGTATTAAAGTTTTAGAGTTTTTTTTAGATTAAACGGATGAATCCATTATCCAATTAGTATCATTGTGGGATTAGGATTTCTACTATGACAAGGGGATGCACTCACACAGTCAAAACATATATTGATCACAACAGTCCATCACTAGGTGACCTAGAACATAACACACACCTCATGTAACACCCAAAGATTTTTTTTTTTATTCTATTTTATTTTAATTTTTAATTTTGTTTATTTTATTTTATTTTAATAATTAATTTATAAGGTTTTAATTTAATTTAATTTAATTTAATAGAAATAAAAATAATAATAATAATAAAATAGGGTAAAATTTCTTTTGGGATTGAATTAAAATTGAATTTCGGAAAAAGTGGTGAAATTTTGGATTCTGTGGGTGTTTTTGAAAAGAAAATCGAAAACCGGAGGTCAAAACACAATTTAAAAAAATAGCACCATGTCAGCAGC